TGACTAGATTGAAGAAAAAACATATCTGAGTGAATTGACAGGGGTTTGGTTGGCTGACATTACGAATTGTTGAAAAAAAACGAGCCGAAGCAAGAGCAGGTAAGATCGAGTTTTCAACAGGCATTGCATTCCTGTTGTTTTTTATTATATATTGTCTGGTACGACATGGTGTATGCATATATATACGGATAGAAGGTCAGATTCCTGTGGTGGACCCTATAGAGGTCATAAGTTTTATCCGATTTAAAAAAACGTTTTAATATATCACTGTTATACCCTAAGGATGGTTGAATTCGAATTTCGTAAAATCTGACCGTAACTGACAGACAAAATGGCCGCCCATGTACTCAAATAGTGTAAAAATAAGGTATATGAATGTTATGGACCCCCTAGAGGTCACAATTTACTTCCGATTTTGATAAAACTTGAAATATAAATTTATAACCCAAAGATCTTGGTTCCTTTCGATATTTCGCGCATATCAAATTGTAACTTCCTGAGATATGGCCCCTGATTGTATGAAAAAATTGCGTTTTTAGCTTGAGGTCCCTCTAGAGGTCACAATTATTATCCAATTAAAAATAAAACGTTTGAATATATCACCTTTACACCCTTAGGATGGTTGAGTTCGAATTTTGTGAAAATCGGACCAAAACTGACAAACAAAACGGACGCCCCTTCGTACTCAAATAGCGTAAAAATATGGTATATCAAGGTTGTGGACCCTCTAGAGGTGACAATTTTCTTCTGATTTTGATGAAACTTGAAATGTAAGTTTATAACCCAAAGATCTTGGTTCCTTTCGATATTTGCGCATATTGGATCGTAACTTCCTGAATTATGGCCCCTGATTGTACGAAAAATCGCTTTTTGTTTAGTTTGCTCTCTATCCATCTCTTGCAAAATGTGGGCGTATCCTGCCTGGCAGCCGCTGGTTTAGCTTGTGGTCCCTCTGGAGGTCACAATTATTATCCAATTTAAAAAAACCTTTTGATTATATCACCGTTACACCGTAAGGAAGGTTTATTTCGAATTTCGTGAAAATCGGACCAAAATGGCCGCCGTTTGTACGCGAATAGTGTAAAAATATGGTATATCAAGGTTGTGGACCCTGTAGAGATCACAATTTTAATTTGATTTTGATGAAACTTTAAATGCATGTTTATAACATAAAGATCTTGGTTCTTTTCGATATTTGTAACTTCCTGAATTATGGCCTGTGATTGTCCGAAAAATCGCCTTTTTATACGCCCACATTTTCATGTGGACGTATTATGCCATCGCCCCTGTCCGTCCGGACGTCTGTCCGTCCACAATTGTTTGTGGACTCTCTACAGGTCACAATTCTTATCCGATTTTGACGAAACTTGAAATATAGGTTTATCCCCCAAAAATCTCGGCTGCTTCGATATTGGCATGTATCGGATCGAAACTTCATGGATTATGGCCCCTGACTGTACGCATATCGGACCGTAACTTCCTGAATTATGGCCCCTGATTGTACGAAAAATCGCGTTTTTAGCTTGTGGACCCAATAAAGGTCATAATTTTTATCCGATTTAAAAAAACGTATTATTGTCTCCGCGTTACACCCTAAGGATGGCTGAGTTCGAATTTCGTGAAAATCGGCCCAAAATTAACAGACAAAATGGCCGCCGTTTGTTGTCAAATAGCGTAAAAATATGGTATTTCAAGGTTGTGGACCCTATAGAGGTCACAATTTTTATCCAATTTTGTTGAAAATTGAAATGTAAGTCTATAACCCAAAGATCTCGGTTCCTTTTGATATTCGCGCATATCGGACCGTAACTTCCTGAATTATGGCTCCTGATTGTATGAAAAATCGCGTTTTTAGCTTTTGGACCCTGTAGAGGTCATAATTTTTATCCGATTTAAAAAAACATATTATTATATCACCGATACACCCTAAGGATGACTGAGTTTAAATTTCGTGAAAATCGGCCCAAAACTGACAAACAAAACGGACGCCCCTTCGTACTCAAATAGCGTAAAAATATGGTATATCAAGGTTGTGGACCCTATAGAAGTCACAATTTTTATCCGATTTTGTTGAAACTTGAAATGTAAATTTATAACACAAAGATCTTGGTTCCTTTCGATATTTGCGCATATCGAATTGTAATTTCCTGAATTATGGCCCTTGATTGTAGGAAAAATCACTTTCTTCTTAGCTTGTTCTCTATCCATCTCTCAAAAATGTGGACGTATCCTGCCTGGCAGCCGCTGGTTTAGCTTGTGGTCCCTCTGGAGGTCACAATTATTATCCGATTTAAAAAATCGTTGGATTATGTCACTGTTACACCGTAAGGAAGATCGAGTTCGAATTTCATGAAAATCAGACCAAAATTGCTGGACAAAATTGCCACCGCTTGTACGCGAATAGTGTAAAAATATGGTATATCAAGGTTGTGGACACTTTAGAGGTCACAATTTTTGTCCGATTTTGTTGAAACTTGAAATGGAAGTTTATAACTCAAATATCTTAGTTCCTTTCGATATTGTCGCATATCGGATCGTAACTTCCTGAATTATGGCCCCTGATTATATCAACGTTACACCGTAATGAAGGTTGAGTTTGAATTTCGTGAAAATCGGACCAAAGTTGCCGGATAAAATGGCCGCCGCTTGTACTCGAATAGTGTAAAAATATGGTATATCAAGGTTGTGGACCCTGTAGAGGTCACAATTTTAATTTGATTTTGATGAAACTTGAAATGCATGTTTATAACCTAAAGATCTTTGTTCCTTGCGATATTGTCGCATATCGGATCGTAACTTCCTGAATTATCGCCCCTACGAAAAATCACCTTTTTTTAGCTTGTGGTCCCTCTGAAGGTAACAGTTATTATCTGATTTTAAAAATCGTTTGAATATATCATTGTAACACCATAATAAAGGTTGAGTTAGAATTTCGTGAAAATTGGACCAAAACTGCCAGACAAAATGGCCACCCTCGTACTCAAATAACATAAAAATATGGTATATCAAGGTTGTAGACCCTGTAGAGGTCACAATTTTTATTTGATTTTGATGAAACTTGAAATGCATGTTTATAACCCAAAGAACTTGGTTCCTTTCGATATTTGCGCAGATCAGGTTGTAACTTCCTGAATTTTGGCCCCTGATTGCACGAAAAATCGCGTTTTTAGCTTGTGGTCCCTCTAGAGGTCACAATTATTATCCAATTTATAAAAAAAACATTCTAATATATCAACGTTACACCGTAATGTTAGTTGAGTTTGATTTTCGTGAAAATCAGATATCACTGCTACACCGTAATGTTAGTTGAGTTTGAATTTCGTGAAAATCGAACCAAAACTGTTGGACAGGATGGCCACCTCTCGTATGCTAAGAGTGTAAAAATATGGTATATCAAGGTTGTGGACCCTCTGGAGGTCACAATTTTAATCTGATTTTGATGAAACTAGAAATGCATGTTTATAACCCAAAGATCTTGGTTGTTTTCAATATTCGCGCATATCGGATCGTAACTTCATCAATTATGGCCTCCAGATTTTGTGAAAAATCATGTTTTTAGCTTGTGGTCCCTCTAGAGGTCACAACTATTATCTGATTTTAAAAAACCTTTGAATATATCACTGTTACACCGTAATGTTTGTTGAGTTTGAATTTCATGAAAATTGGACCAAAACTGATAGACAAAATGTCCGCCCTTCGTACGTTATATAGTGTAAACATCTAGTATGTCAAGGTTGTGGACCATCTAGAGGTGACAATTTGATCAGATTTTGATGAAACTTGGTTTCTTTCAATATTCGTGCATATCGGATCATAACTTCCAGAATTATGGCCCCTGATTGTACGAAAAATCATATTTTTAGCTTGTGGATTCTCTAGAGGTCACAATTTTTTTCTATCTGACTTTAGAAACCGTTTAAATATATCACCATTCCACCATAATGAAGGTTGAATTTCTATTTTGCAAAAATCGAAATGAAACTGCACGAAAAAATGGCCGCTCTTTTAAAAAAAATTGTGTAAAAGTATGTAATACAAAGGTTGTGGATCCTCTAGAGGTCACAATTTTTATCCGATTTTGATGAAACTTAAAATATATATTTATATCCCAAAGATATCAGTCCTTTTTGATATTTGCGCATTTCAGACCGTAACTTTCGGGATTATGGCCCCTGATTGTACAAAAACTCGCTTTTGTTTTTAGCTTGTTCTCTATCCATCTCGTGCAAAATATGGGCGTATCCTGCCTGGCAGCTGCTGAAACATTAGCATGGGCCAAACAAATTCTAATGATTTTCTGATAATTACTTAATGAGTTGTTACTCTAAAATCAGATTTTATAAATGTTTCATATGTAAAAATATGTGACAACTCTTTTTGCTGGCTAGGACGATTTAGCTGTTGTGGGCGTTGCCTGGCAACCTATCTTTTTATACTTTTGACGGCCTCCACTACATGAAGATATGACCGGTTGTAGTGTGAAGTTGCGTCAGTGGTCATTCGAGCAGCTTTTGACTGTATGACGTAACACATTTGATTACCAATCAGCGTTGATGTTTCTAGTGGGATACCCCCAGTTCCGTGCACCGCACGTCAAAAACTCGCCGCAACAAACCATTTTATTGGCTAATTCCACACATCATCTAGAACAAAGGTTATATAACAACTCTTCCAGATCCTAGTGTAGCGCAAAGGCAAGTGAAACGAAATTAAATTTTGAACTATAAAAAATAAAACGAAATAGGATCTGTTTTTTAATCAGATTGGAAAACTCTTAACATGAAGAGCGTTTACAAGTTTTGGTGACAGAGGCATTTTCTCTGTAAAATATTGTTCCTAGTTACGACTTACCAAATAATAGTTGGAAGTTTGAGAAAAAAAGGTCTCGGAAATTGTGACCCTTATTGATAGTGTACATGTATGTTCTGTCACCTCATATCTTTTAGAAATTTTAATAAACTGTGCGGAAATGTTTTCTAATCCAGTAATTTTTGTTGTAGGTGGGGATCAAGGTTTATTGAACCTGTTCTTCAGAGACTGGTCTACTAAAACAATAGACCGACACCTACCTTTTACATATAATGTTGTTTCACAGGCATTTTACAGTTATCTGCCAGCATTTACACAGTAAGTCACTAAGAAGTAGGAAAGGGTGAGTTTTGTACTTGTTCTCTATATAAATCTAGCTCTATAGGTGAGTTTCTACAAATATCTGTAAAATTCTAATTATAGCAAAGAATCTAATACAGAGAGGCTGAAATCTGTATATACAGATACAGGGTTGAGCAATTGACTGAAAGGTGAATGGATTACCGTTAGGGGTGAAAAACTCTATGACAGTGCGTTTTCTGTATTGGATGTGTTAATTAACGGACAGGTTAAAAATGAATGACACAGTGTGTATTCTTTGTTTAGTGAGTTTGTCTAGGACCAGCAGGCTTTATCTGACGCGTAGGTGTTAAATCGAAACGTCGGTTGGAAATCTATTTTTAACGTGTGATTTCTTGTTCGACTGTGTGTTTTTGTATAAGGATAGATCTTTATCCATGGATTTATACGTGCCGTAGTTTTATATGTTAATCATTTCTTCTGTGCGTCTTTTGTATTTATTGATTAACATATACAACGCAGTATGTGTTATATATTGCGTGCCAATACAGATCTTAATTTGTTGTACTACACATGACGTACACAATATCCAGTCAGATCCCAATTTAAATGTCCGGGTAGGTATATATCGATAAGCTGAATTTAGGGTATGTCTACCTATTCTTGTTATAAAGTTATAAAGTCTTGAAAGTAGTACAACATACTTAACACATTTTTTTTTCCTAAACAATATTTTATTGAATATTAGGATTAGGAAACAGACAAAGCCTATATAATCCCTCTCCCATACTTAACACATCCTTCTTTCATTCCCGTCTTCATTAGTCTTCATTAGGACATCAAACTCCATTTCATTCATTCATTCCTAGTTACAATAGATAAAGACCAGGAGTTGGGTAATATATATTTATATCATAAATAACAGTAGTTAAATATTGAGCGAATAGATGATGTAGCATTGGTCCAACATACTTGTGTTGAACTAAATAAAAAATCTGATATATACATTTACAATCGAAACTTTAAAAATATACAAATAGAATATGATCAACACTGTATAATTTTTGGTTGAAACGCCAAAATTGATAATTGCGAAATTTGAGTGTATAAAGGCTAACAAGTGATATTGCATAAATTTTTCAATTATTTTAAAATTAGAATTTATCCGATGATTGTGGTGTCATATTTTGATCAGTTTACTGATATAGTTACGATCTATTTACAAATATACAACATCCTTGTTCACTACAGGGAGCTCAGTGAGAAAAATGCCAGGAGTTCCGCAGGATTTTTTGGGGTGGTTTCGCGATGTCAGTGGTGCAGGACAGAGGGCCTGACAAGGAGCAATGTCTAGTCATACGGATGTTAAGAAAAACTGAGGTCACATGCATTTAAAAGAACCCTTTATAGTTGGAATTCGAAGAGTAGACCGCAGCCCGTCGTCGTCATTATCCCAGTTGGTGAAGAAAAGTAGGACATTAAAACATAATTTCATTTCATTTTGTGGACTACTTTCGTCACATTTTTATACGCCAAAATTTTCATATGGACGTATATTGTCGTCGTCCCTGTTTGTCCGTCTGTCTACAATTTGTTTGTGGACACTCTACAGGTCACAATTTTTATCCTATTTCAATGAAACTTGAAATATAGCTTTATTGGCATGTATCGGACGGTAACATCATGGATTATGGCCCCTGATTGTACGAAAAATCTCGTTTTTAGCTTGTAGACACTCTAGAGGTCACAATTTTTATCAGATTTTGATAAAATTTGAAATGTAAGTTTATAACCAAAAGATCTCGGTTCCTGTCGATATTCGCCAATATCGGACCATATCTTCCTGAATTATGGCCCCTGATGTACAAAAAATCGCGTTTTTAGCTTGTGGACCCTATAGAGGTCATAATTTTTATCCGATTTAAAAAAACGTATTATTTTATCACCGTTACACCCTAAGGACGACTGAGTTCGAATATCGGTCCAAAATTGACAGACAAAATGGCCGCCGTTCGTTCTCAAATAGCGTAAAAATATGGTATATCAAGGTTGTGGACCCTATAGAGGTCACAATTTTTATCCGATTTTGTTGAAAATTAAAATATAAGTTTAAAACCCAAAGATCTCGGTCCCTTTCGATATTCGCGCATATCGGACCGTAACTTCCTGAATTATGGCCCCAATTGTACGAAAAATCGCGTTTTTATTTTATACGCCCACATTTTCATGTGGACGTATATTGTGGTCGCCCCCGTCCGTCCGTCCGTCCACAATTGTTTGTGAACAGTCTACAGGTCACAATTTTTATCCGATTTCAATGAAACTTGAAATATAGGTTTATCACCCTAAGATCTCGGTTCCTTTCGATATTGGCATCTATCGGACCGTAACTTCATGGATTATGGCCCCTGATTGTACGAAAAATCACGTTTTTGGCTTGTGAACACTGTAGAGGTCACAATTTTTTCCTTTCGATATTCGGGCATATTGAATTGTAATTTCCTGATAGTAGGAAAAATCACTTTCTTGTTAGCTTGTTCTCTATCGATCTCTCGAAAATGTGGGCGTATCCTGCCTGGCAGCCGCTGGTTATCCGATCTTGTTTAAACTTTAAATGTAAATTTATAACCCAAAGATCTCAGTTCCTTTCAATATTCGCGTGTATGGGACCGTAACTTCCTGATTGTACAAAAAATCGCGTTTTTAGCTTGTGGACCCTATAGAAGTCATATTTTTTATCTGATTTGAAAAAATGTTTTACTATATCACCGTTACACCCTAAGGACGGCTGTGTTCGAATTTCGGGAAAATCGGCCCAAAACTGACAGACAAAATGGCCGCCCTTCGTTCTCAAATAGCGTAAAAATATGCTATATCAAGGTTGTGGACCCTATAGAGGTCACAATTTTTATCCAATATTGTTGAAACTTGAAATGTGAGTTTATAACCCAAAGATCTCGACTTCTTTCGATATTGGCATGTATCGGATCGAAACTTCATGGATTATGGCCCCTGTTTGTACGAAAAATCACATTTTTAGCTTGTGGACCCTATAGAGGTCACAATTTTCATCCGATTTTGTTGAAACTTGAAATGTAAGTTTATAACCCAAAGATCTCGGTTCCTTTCGATATTCGCGCATATTGGACCGTAACTTCCTGAATTATGGCCCCTGATTGTACGAAAAATCGCGTTTTTAGCTTGTGGACCCTATAGAGGTCATAATTTTTATCCGATTTAAAAAAACGTATTATTATATCACCGTTACACCCTAAGGATGACCAAGTTCGAATTTCGTGAAAATCGGCCCAAAATTGACAGACAAAATGGCCGCCGTTCGTTCTTATACCATAAGAATATGGTATATCAAGGTTGTGGACCCTATAGAGGTCACAATTTTTATCCAATTTTGTAGAAACTTGAAATGTAAGTTTATAACCCAAAGATCTTGGTTCCTTTCGATATTCGCAGATATCGGACCGTAACTTCCTGAATTATGGTCCCTGATTGTACGAAAAATTGCGTTTTTAGCTTGTGGACCCTATAGAGGTCATAATTTTTATCCGATTTAAAAAACCGTCTTATTATATCACCGTTACACCCTAAGGATGATTGAGTTTGAATTTCGTGAAAATCAGCCCAAAATTGACAGACAAAATGGCCGCCATTATTCTCAAATAGCGTAAGAATATGGTATATCAAGGTTGTGGACCCTATAGAGGTCACAATTTTTATCCGATTTTCTTGAAACTTGAAATGTAAGTTTATAACCCAAAGATCTTGGTTCCTTTTGATATTTGTGCATATTGGATTGTAACTTCCTGAGTTATGGCCCCTGATTATACGAAAAATCTCGATTTTAGCTTGAGGTCCCTCTAGAGGTCACATTTATTATCTGATTTAAAAAAAAACGTTTGAATATATCACCTTTACACCCTAAGGATGCTTGAGTTCGAATTTCATGAAAATCAGACCAAAACTGCAGGCCTCGAAATTAACCGGTCATAATTTTTTCCTTTCGATATTCGCGCATATTGAATTGTAATTTCCTGATAGTAGGAAAAATCACTTTCTTGTTAGCTTGTTCTTTATCCATCTCTCGAAAATGTGGGCGTATCCTGCCTGGCAGCCGCTGGTTATCCGATCTTGTTTCAACTTTAAATGTAAATTTATAACCCAAAGATCTCAGTTCCTTTCGATATTCACGCATATCGGACCGTAACTTCCTGAATTATGGATCCTGATTGTACGAAAAATCGAGTTTTTAGCTTGTGGACCCTAAAGAGGTCATAATTTTTATCCGATTTAAAAAAACGTTTTATTTTATCACCGTTACACTCTAAGGACGACCGAGTTTGAATTTCGTCAAAATCGGCCCAAAACTGACAGACAAAATGGCCGCCGTTCGTTATCAAATAGCGTAAAAATATGGTATATTAAGGTTGTGGACCCTATAGAGGTCACAATTTTTATCCAATATTGTTGAAACTTGAAATGTGAGTTTATAACCCAAAGATCTCGGTTCCTTTCGATATTCTTGCATATCGGTCCGTAACTTCCTGAATTATGGCCCCTGATTGTACGAAAAATCACGTGTTTAGCTTGTGGACCCTATAGAGGTCATAATTTGTATCCGATTTAAAAAATCGTATTATTATATCACCGTTACACCCTAAGGACGGCTGAGTTCGAATTTCGTGAAAATTGGCCCAAAACTGACAGATAAGATAGCCGTCCTTCGTTCTCAAATAGCGTAAAAATATGGTATATCAAGGTTGTGGACCCTATAGAGGTCACAATTTTAATTCTATTTTGATGAAACTTGAAATGTAAGTTTATAACCCAAAGATCTCGGTTCCTTTCGATATTCGTGCATATCGGAACGTAACTTCCTGAATTATAGCTCCTGATTGTATGAACAATTGCGCTTTAAGCTTGTGGACCCTATAGAGGTCATAATTTTTATCCAATTTAAAAAAACATATTATTATATCACCGTTACACCCTAAGGACGACTA